TTTATTGCTTTAAAAATCATGATGCTTCATTTTAATGCTAACATTTTATTTGAAAGACAAAAAAATAATCCCCAAATCTTGCCAGTTTATATTTTACAATTTTTTTAAAGAAACAAAAGCAGTTGTATCATGAAACAAATCTTTTCAACATGAACTTGCATTGAACAATTGCAGTATATCCACAAGTAAATAATTGACATTCTGGACTAAGCAAGAAATACAAGGTCACCTTTTTTTTCCTACTTGTTAATGTCAGTGTCAGAATTTTCTTTAAAAACCCCCATAACATTTCAGATGTCGCTCACAAAATGAACTGCAAAATGGTATTTATATGAAGCACTATTTATAAGAAAAGCAAAACACTGACAGTGACAATATTTTTTTCAAAAAATGCACATTTCTTATGTAGGACTCATCTAAAATTAAGTGGAAGTTACAGGCATCAAGTTCTTCTTCCTGAATATGTATAATCAAAAATTTTCTGAAACGTAGATTTTTTGAGCTCTTCTTTAGGGAAAGTCCTATGTGATACCATGAAAGAGTAAGCTACTATGAAAAATTTGATTTTAGATGCAAAAAATACTTATTTTGATGACATATTTTTAGCCAGGGATATTTTAAAGTAAGATTCTAGAAAGCAAAATGTCACCTGTTCCTCCTTAAAATGAAAAAGGGCACTGATTACAGTATGTAAGCTTACCTGTTCACCTTGTTATTGTGGGTTTTGTATTTTTTGCTTATTTATCTGTTCACAAAATGTACATGTAAGTGGAATTATTTTACTGCTGTGATTATGTTAGACAAAAATGACAGAAGGCAGGGAATTACCCTGAGATAAAACAACATTTTTAAAAAAAACAACAAAGAAAGCAGTGAACAGAACAATAACTATTTTGGGGGGTGGGGGCTTTTTATCCTCTTCTGTACCCTAATTATGCTTGTTTTATAATAATCCCATATAATAATTCTTAGAGCTATTGTAACAAGATTGTACTATCCTTTTCAGTGAACTCCTCCTAGTAGCTGACCTTCACCTCCCACAGGGCGTGTATTTGTTACCTGGCTAAGAGGATGTTGTATTGAGACGGTTTTACAGAAAATGTTCCAGGAATACAGTGCCTCCATGGATCTGCTAATTTCCAGTTTTGCCCTGCATCAAGCCTAGGAGATGAAGCTCTTCATGCTTCTTGTACTTCGTTATCACCTCTCTGGCCTTGAATCACTTGTGAGCCACCCTCTGTATAAATGACCATGCTTGTTAACTGTTCTCCTGCTCTATCAGGGGATACAGCTTCTGCTTTTATAGCAGTACCAGCCTGCAAAATCTCTTGAGACCCAGCTGTCTCTATCACAGCATGCGAGTACACACCAGGCTCATCCTGCATGTCTGGTGGCAATTCTGTGACAATGTAGTGGGTTGCACCTTCAGAGAAGTTGCCATCAGAACCCTGAACCATGGCTTGAGCTATTTCTTCTGTGACAATAATCTGTTGTATTTCCCCATCCGACTCAACTAGATCCACGTGCTCGCTTTGGACACTGAGCGCGTGGCCACCAGTTTCCTGCATAATTATCTGAGAACCTTCTCTAGCTACCATATGCACAGTCCCTTCCTCATTTACAATGACCTGAGTGACACCTTCTTTCATCAGCTGGTCGGCTGCAGCCGTATCACATACAGCAAACTGTAATACTCCTTGGACCATTTTCTTGAAGGCAGCCTGAGCACTCTCCTGAGATGCAATTATAGCCGATGGGTGCATGACCTGCGTCACTACTTCCATAGGTTCAGTATCTTCCTGAGTCTCTTGAACTTCATGGAACATTTGTATTTCTTGTCCCTCTGCGTCACTGGGAATGCTGGGCGTCTCTGGGTTTGGCATTTGCAAGAAATCTTTGCGACTAGACCTGCATCTGTCAAGGAGACCAGATTTGTTTTCCACTTCACCCAGCTCTGTTACAGCGCAAAGCAGGGCATCTAATGCCGAGGAGGAGTCTGGAGGATGGATTGTAGCTTCAGAAGCATCTAAAACTTCTTGTTGCATTATCTGCTGCAGTACAGCGCTACTGGAGTCAGGAACTGCGTCTATTTGAACGGCCTCCTCCATATCAGTTCCTGTTCCTTCAACCACTACCACCTGTGTTGCACCATCTGCTAACTGCTCGGTAAGGATCCGCCCTGGAACCATACTACTCATGTGTGAGCCGTTTTGATTTGTAGCTATGACTTGCCCGTCTTCTGTAATATGGACCACCCTGGCCATCTGACCAGCCATTGCTAGAGTCTGAAGGGTAGCTGCTGCTGTTTCTTCCACAGAGGCATCAATTGCAAAGTCGCGATCGTATCCTTGAATAATAATAACTTGCTGAACTTCTTCAGGTGACTGTGGCTGTCTTCTACTGCCCCGAAAGACCTTCTCTTTAACTGGAGAAACCTCTCCCAGTGCTGCTGCAGTAAAAGGACTCGTAGTTTCCACAAAGGTTGCTCCTTGCCCCTTCAGTCGGCACTCATAGGACTTGGACACAATACCTACAAGATAAAATATGCTGTTAACATGGTATCATGGCAAATATCAGTTCATTACTTTAACAAATTGTAGCTTAAATGGAAAAAAATTCCTTGACAATTTTTAGATTTCACTGGCAGAAAATACAGATAAAATGAGCACGCGAACAAAAACAATTTGCATGTTTTCCAAATAACATATTTACAGGTTGAAGTAATTGCTGAGTTTAACAATTCTGCAGCCTATTAACAATTTAAAACTGTTTTTTAAAATATGCTGTATAAAAAAAGCCCAGATAAATACAGTATACAGTTAAAAGCCATTAACACATCTTTTATAGACAATCCTATTGGTGATATTTCAGTACTTCAGTGTATTGGGTTTGCGTGGCAAGGTTTTGGTAGTGGGGGGGCTCCCACGGTGGCTTATGGGAGAAGCTGCTAGAAGCTTCCCCCATGTCTGATAAAGCCAATGCCAGCCAGCTCCAAGATGGACCCACTGCTGGCCAAGGCTGAGCCCGACAGAGACGGTGGTAGTGCCTCTGTGATAACATATTTAAGAAGGGGAAGAAGTTGCCACCCAACAGCAACTGCAGCCAGAGGGAGGAGTGAGAATATGTGAGAGAAACAACTCTGCAGACACCAAGGTCAGTGAAGAAGGAGGGGAGGAGGTGCTCCAGGTGCCGGAGCAGAGATTTCCCTGCAGCCCATGGTGAAGACCATGGTGAGGCAGGCTGTGCCCCCACAGTCCATGGAGGTTAATGGTGGAGGAGATATCCATCTGCAGCCCGTGGAAGACCCCACATCAGAGCAGGTGGATGCACCCGAAGGAGGCTGTGACCCAGTGGGAAGCCCACACTGGAGCAGGCTCCTGGCAGGACCTGTGGCCC